TGGGGCCAGGTGTTTTGGGCATCCTACCTATGATCTCAGCACTCAAGGGGCAGAGCTGACTAGCTAGATAAGTGGTGAGCAAAAGCCCCTGTTTTAATATATATTAGGTGGAGGGGGAATCAAGGAGGATACTTGACATCAACCTGGAGCCTCCATAAGCATGCACATACATGTATACATGCACCCCCATATATGAACACACATGTGTGCATGCACTCACACCACATACATGCCATATGCACATTTCTGAAAAAAAAATGGGACAAAGTAAAAAGGTATAAAGCTGGCCAGCCATGTAGAAGACTATGAAAGAAATCCAGACAACCTGGCAATACATTAGTATATGTAGTCTAGGAAAACAGCAAGAACACAGTATTCACTGCAAACCAGTGGCGCCTCAGTACATCAGAATACTGGCAAATGCTAACCCCCAGTCGCTTTGTAATCATTAGCCGCTATTCCCTGTGGGTTTGAGGCTTCTCATGGATGTGAGCAAAGAGGAGCCAAGATGGGGGACCCTATGCATGTGGTCACAGCTGCAGTGGAACAGACTATGCCTTTTTGTCTCAGCTCTCACACGGTGTTCCAGGTCCACCTAATGTCATGTTCTCGGTATTCTTGCTTTTTTGTTGATTATTCCACTGTTTTCAAATGCCCCCAATGATAGTACCACCACGTCATCTAGTGTTTAAAGCACGAGAAGGTTTCAAAGACAGACCTTCTTCACAGAGCAAGTATGTGCTAGATAATCATCCATCCGGCATAAGTTTCAATGCCACTGGCTGTGAGTTCCATGCTGCTGAATCAACAATATGCTTAAAGTGTCTGGAAACAGAAGCACCCAAGAGAAGAGGTTTCCTGTTGCCCAGTGACAAAGATACTTGTGCTAGAGGCTCACAGGACCCTGATCTTACAGCTCCTCTCAGAGCAACAATTCAACTCTTGCTGTGTTTGTGGTATCTCTATAACTACTGAAGGTGATGATAACAAAGTGTGCGTGTTTTTATGTATGGTTTTTATATATTGTTGTCCTATGGGTGAGAGTTGAAGTTATCCATGTTAGATTATGTGATTCAGAACTGATGGGTGTCAGTTGTCAGGGTTTGAATCCACTCCCAGAGAGGGGCAGGACTCTGTTGCTTTTGTACCAGAAAACTTGGATGACCCCATAGCAGAACAGGCAGACCATTAAGAGGCATCATTAAGTCTTGTGGATGGAGACTTAGGTGACTCAGAGCTAAGACAGCAGACTGGAAGCTAGAGGGGCAGATGCTGACTTTGTGTGAGGGAGAGACTGTGGTATTCAGATCTGACAGGAGAGGCAGGTTTAGTGTGATGGTTGGACAGTGATTACTGTCCCTCATAGTCTCAGGTGTTTGAACACTTGGTCCCCAGTTGGTGACAATATGTGGGTAGGATTGGGAGGTGTGGTCTTGCTGGAGGAGGTATGTCACTGGCAGGAGGCTTCAAGAGTTTAAAGACTCTGACATTTCTGGTTTTCTTTCTCTGCTTTGTGAGTGTGGTTCAAGGGGTAACTTTTCAGCTTCTCTTTTTTTCCACCATGCCTTTACCATCATGGACTCTAACCCTCTGGAACCAGAAGCCCAAATAAACCCTTCTTTTTATAAACTGTCTTGATTATTGTGTTTTATCACAGCAACAGAAAAGTAACACTTAATCAAAACAAAACATATACAACCCCTCCCACCACACACACCAAACTCAAACTCAAAGTCAAAGGAAGCAAATAGAAACAAAACAGTCATCCAGATGTAGTTTGCACAGGTTAGGCCACAGGAAAGACACAGGGAAGAGACAAATTGCATCTGGCACACATCAAGAGAATAACAGGAGAAAAGGAGCTGCAGAGCATGGAAAGATAGTGTGAATGGAAACAGGGACATCTTTAAGTCTTGTGGATGGAGACCCAGATGGATCAAAGCTCAGACTGCAGACTCGAAGCTAGAGGGGTACATGCTGGGTTTGTGTAAAGGGAGATTTTGTGGTCTTCAGAGCTCTCTGACAGCCAAGATTGGAAGCTAGTGGTTCAGAAGTCCATCCATTGGAGACACAAGTTTACTGTTGCTTTCTTTGTTTTTAATGTATGTGTTTTTTATTTATTTATTTATTTATTTATTATGTATACAACATTCTGCTTCCATGTATATCTGCACACTAGAAGAGGGCACCAGATCTCATAATGGATGGTTGTAAGCTATCATGTGGTTGCTGGGAATTGAACTCAGGACCTCTGGAAGAGTAGTCGGTGCTCTTAACCTCTGAGCCATCTCTCCAGCCCTTCCTATTGCTTTCTTAAAACAATGCATCTAAATTTCTTTTGTGGGACCTGCACTCCTGTTTCTGAAGCCTGCAGCATCCCATGTGCTTTAAGCCCCACATAATTTGTTATGACTTGCCTTACTTTTGTAATAGTGTATAGCAATATACTCTATTATATACTGTATTACTCTAGTGATAAGATATAGCAAATGCAGATAAGGACAAAGTCACAATTTCAGACAAATGATAATTTCTAGCGTGTCCCATACAGGACTTAGGTCACATTTATATTTATATCCCAGCATTTGGTGTTTATGAATACCGTTCTGCATTTCATCTGGCAGCTTCACCCTGGAGGCTTGACGTGGAGCCTTCGACATCCCATATGGAGGAAGTGGGTACCATATCTGGGAAGTCCTCAATCTTGTCTCAGAGGAATGCTTGTGATAGAAAAGGGCTGACATGGTTTTATTACACCTTGGCCTTTGCTGTTCTGAGATGCTGTTGCAGAGAAAGCAATGAAAAGTAGAGGTAGTAAACTCCAGTTAATAACCTTGCTGCTTGGCTAATAGATGGGATATCAGCCTTGGCTCTAACAGCGTATTGAATGATCTTTTCATTCCCATAGGTCTGGGGTTTATGAATAAAGGACAGGATAGTTTCTGACCTTCAGTATCCAATGCTTCTGAAACTCCTTCTAAGCAGTTAAGAGGTGCACCTGTGGCTTGGAGAGTGACGACAGCCTTTCTGAATCAGGCAGGCCTGTTGTTTTATGGGGATTGTTTTACGTTGCAGCAGTCATTGCTTGCTTCTCTCAGACAATGCATAACCATCCTGACACTGCTCGCCTGCTTCGCTGCCAGAGTTGCCTTTCTGGTGACTTTAAATGCACTGTAATGAATGCCTAAGGAACAAAGCAGTAGTTGCTATGAGAGGAGAGGCTGTCACTCACTGTGAACACAGCCTCAGCGGTCCCCAGTGGAACATGACTGTTAAGATCTGAGGTCGTGTCAAGAAATTGCACTTTTAGCCAGGCGTTGGTGGCGCATGCCTTTAATCCCAGCACTCGGGAGGCAGAGGCAGGCGGATCTCTGTGAGTTCGAGGCCAGCCTGGTCTCCAGAGCGAGTGCCAGGATAGGCTCCAAAGCTACACAGAGAAACCCTGTCTCAACCTCCCCACCCCCCAAAAAAGAAAAGAAATTGCACTTTTAAAAGCCATGCAGTGATCTTGGGTCTTGGCCACTTTTTCAGTGTCCTTTCCGGCCGCTGGAGAATTCTAATGTGATAGATAGAGAACACTTGGGTTAGGCTGTTGTGTTGGAAATGAGGCAAGTTAGCTTCTTGGCAGAGTGGCAAGGCCCAGAACTGCCAGTGAAGTCAACTGATGGGCCAGGGCCCTCTGCAGTTCAGTGTGCAGCATCCCATCCTTTGTCCTCAGTGTGAGTCTCCTTTACTTTCTCCCACTTTTCTCAAAGTCCTCACTGACAAAATGGGGAAAAAAAGGAAAATAACAAAATGAACTATAGGTGTGTAGTATGCATTGAAATTTAGTGTTCTCATGTCATCTTGGGGGAAAGACCCTAGAAGACATGGACTTTGCCATTGAAGGGATTACTTTTATTGTTTATTAGTTACAAAACTCGAGTACAAATAAAAGATAAGGACCTGAGATTGTTACCACGGCAGTGATGCACCCACCATATCACCTTCTGGTTCCCAAAAAAGGACCAGACAACCTTCTAGACCTGCCTATTCAACTCAAGGCCACTCTTTCCCTCATCCTGGGTCTGCCAAGGACTTGTTGATCTACTCTTGCCAGCTGAATGTGAACTCTGCCCCTTGAACCAAATGCCCTATTCAGTTGGATAATGGACCAAGACAATAACAGAATTCTTGTAACATGTCGTCTCTTTTAAAGACAGGTGTTTTCAGCATTTCCCCAAAGTCTCAGTGATGCTGTGTCTTCATCAGAATGACTTAAGTGAAGCCTGAGGGGTTACTCAGAGCATCAGACTCTTCACCTCCCTTTCAAATACCGTCATAGAGCAGGAACAAATTTCATTGCAAACTGGATATCTGCATCTTAAGTGAGTGACATTAGGCCATGAGTAGCTTGGCTACTTTCAGGTAATAGCCCTGCTTTCCTTGTTCTCAGTAGGTATCCCGTCTCGTGAGGGAACTTGCAGTGGAACGCTACTTCTCCCACTTTTTATATCTTTCAGGGTCCTGTACTCACGATGCACACAGATCTCTGGCTACTGTGAGTTGAATGGATGAGCTAGAAATTAAACAATGGCTTCAGAAGCATAAATGTCCTCAAACAATTCTACTTCTTCTATTTAACACATGGTGAACATGGTCCGTTTAAATTTTTTTTTTCTTATATGTAAGTTTACTTACTTGTAAAGTGTAGACAGACCACTACTCTTACAGAGTGGGTTGGGAAGAAACAGATTATTAGTATAGGCATTCTGTAAATGGCAGCTCTGATTATTGTTTTTGGCTGAATTAATGCAAAAGACAAGCAGAAAGGGCGGTTCTGTGGAAGTGTAATTCCCCAGACTTCAATGCACTCTTACCCGGTTTTACACAAAGGTCTAGACTAGATATCCTATGGATGAACTGCTCTGTGTAACTGCCCACTGTGGCGGGTTCTAGATCGATGGTCCCTAAAAGCAATTAAGAGGCACTGTAGTCAGCAGTGGGATGCATTCCAATTCTTTTATTTATGATGCCTATTTGGACCCCAAGCCAGCCAGCATTCAGCCCCCAGGGAGAACTCTATAGCCCCATTCATGTCGTCACTCCACAATGCGGCGCAGTGACTGGACAGCAGGAGATGTTGCACCCCAATCGATGGGCTTCCGGTATTCCTTCTTGTCCAGAAGATACTGTCTGCCACGGTAGTTGGGTAGCTCATGGAAAATCCAGGCGCCTTCTAGTACCTTACAGGAGTTGATCTCTCGCATGTGAAATTGCTCCATGATGGAAGGGCAGTCTTCTGTTGTTTCATGCATTTGGCCACTAAAGTCACCCTTTTCAAAGATCTGAATCTTATACTGGCCTCCACTGGACTGAAAACAAAACAACAAAAAGGAATGGTCAGCCATTATTACAGAAATCATTAGCAGTTCAGGAACTCAGAGGAGAGCAGCATGGTTTGCAGCCTATCACCCTGAAAGGGGTCATCAGAACTGTCTCTACATGAAAGGCTGACTTTCATTGAGAAAAGTATAATTTCTATAAATATCTATAAGGTAGAAAGAGTCCTAGAACAATTAGTATTTAGTCTGCACTTGATCTTAGCCTAAAGGCTGGGAAGTAATGTCAGTCTAGTGAGAAGAAACTAAGATGTTATTTCATCAGTAAATCCTAGCTACTTGAGATGAGGTAGAAAGACTTAGGAAAAGGTGTGTGGGCATGGGGGGTTGGAGAGATGGCTCAGCAGTTAAGAGTGCTTGCTGCTCTAGCAAAGGACCTGAGTTCAGTTCCCCAAATCTACATCAGGCAGCTCATATCCACTCCAGCTCTAGGGAACCCAACACCCTCTTCTGGCCTCTGAGGGCACCTGCATGCAAATGCTCTCTTTGTCTGTCTCTCTCTCTCTCTCTCTCTCTCTCTCTCT